CAAAGACTGTATCTGCCTTGCATATCATTGTTATCCCTGAAAGCTCCCCCACTGGCTGGCTTTTAATAAGCACACCATAAATATTTCCTGAAAATACTCATTCTTAAAATGATTGAATGAATGAATGACAGATGGATGGTTGATGGTATGTGTAGCTAAAAATTGTGTCCTGTCTCACTGCCTGTTTTTGAAGACTGACCTTTAGTTTGTGTTTCTTGCCGTGTTTGATGGTCCATTTTTTTTGTCCATAACTCTTATTCAAAGTAAAACACCAAACAAAAGCACATTCAGTTACTGACCACGAAGTTATTCTGCTGTCAGTTTCAACCTCATGTCTTAATCACCTGAGGTCAAACTTACATATATGTCAATAGCTTTTTTGATAACGACGGTAGTGTAATTTGTGTGCTGTGTGCTCTTGAAATGTTTTGCTATAAAGACACTAGAACTGAATTTTGCTCTAGTGGAATAATGATGAATGTTAAAAAAAAAAACCAGAAAACCAACAACTTAATAACATTCAAACTGATTTCCAAGTTTGTTCTTCAGCCAGAGGAACGTGCCCACTGACTTTTTTTAAAGGTAGCGGATTTATTATGTTGTAATTCATACACCATAACATTTACCACTTTAAAATTTCCAATGTAGTGGTTTTTAGTGTATTTACAGAGTCATGTCGCCATCACCACATTATCATTGCAGGACATTTTTATCATCCCCGAAAGAAATCCAGACCCATTAGTAGTCACCCCCATTCTACTTTCTTTTGCTATGGATTTGCCTGTTCTTGATATTTCATGTAAATAGAGTCATACATTGTATGGTCTTCTGTATCTGGTTGCTTTTACCTAGCATGATGTTTGAAAGATTCATTCATGTTGTAACATGGATCAGTACTTCATTCTTTTTATGGCTGAATAATATTCCACAGCATCACATTTTATTAGTTGACGGATATTTGGGTTGTTTCAGTTTTTAGCTATTAGGAATATTGTACCCATGAACATTTGTGTACAAGTTTTTGTGTGGACATGTGTTTTCATTTCTGTTGGGTATATACCTGAAAGTGTATTGCTTAGTCATACAGTAACTAGTAATTCAGTAACTCTGTGGGAGATTTGAGAAACTGCCAAGCTGTTTTCCAAAATAGCTGCACCATTTTACATTCTTACCAACAATGTATGAAGGTTCCAGTTTCTCCATATTCTCACCAGCACTTTTTATTATTCCTCTTTTTCATTATAGCCGTCCAGTGAGTGGTATCTCCTCATTGGCTGGGTTTGCTTTTCTTTTCTTTTCCTCCCGAGTCCAAGTCTTGCTCTGTTGTGCAGGCTAGAGTGCAGTTGCGCGATCTTGACCCTGCTTCTTGGGTTCAAGCAATTCTCCTGCTTCAGCCTCCCGAGTAGCTGGGTTTACAGGCACGCACGAGCATGCCTGGCTAACTTTTGTATTTTTAGTGGAGACTGGGTTTCACCATGTTGGCCAGGCTGATCTCGAACTCCTGACCTCGTGATCCGCCCGCTTTGGCCTCCCAAAGTGTAGGATTACAGATGCGAGCCAGGGTTTGCTTTTCTGTAATGATCAATAAAATTGAGCACTTTTCATGTGTTTATCGGCTATTTGTATACTTTCTTTGCAATTTAGCTATTAAATAAAAAATCCTTTGTCCATTTTTAAACTGGGTTGTCTTCTTATTGTTGAGCTTTAAAAGTTCTTTTTTGTTGTTGTTTGTTTTTGTTTTTGAGACAGTGTCTTTCTCTGCCGCTCAGGCTGGAGTGCAATGGCACCTTCCCGGCTCAATGCATCCTTGACCTCCTGGGACTCAGGCGATCCTCTGACTTGAGCCTCCCAAGTACCTGGGACTACAGGCATGTGTCACCAAGCCTGGCTAATTTTTGAATATTTTTGTAGAGAAAGGATTTTGCCATGTTGCCAAGGCTGCTCTTGAACTCCTGGGCACAAGCAATCCATCCGCCTCTTGTCTCCCAAAGTACTGGGATTGTAGGTGTGAGCCACCATGCCCAGCCTAAAAGTTATTTATATAGTGTGGATACTAGTCCGTTATCAGACATACGGTTTATAAATACAGTTGGCCCTTGGACAGTGCAGAGGTTAGGGGTACTGAACCCCTGAGCAGTTGAAAATTATATGTATAACTTGACTCCCCAGAAACTTCACTACAGATAGCTTGCTGTTGACAGGAAGACTTACTGATTACATAAACAGTTGACTAACACATATTTTATATGTTATCTGTATTTTGTACTGTGTTATTACAATAAAGCAAGCTAGAGAAAAGCAAATGTTAAGAAAATCATAAAGACGAGAAAATACATTTTCTGTTTATTAACTGGAGGTAGGTTATCATAAAGATCTTCATCCTTGTGGTCTTCATATTGAGAAGGCTGAGCAGGGGGGAAGAAGAGGAAGGGTTGGTCTTGCTGTCTTGGGATAGCAAGAGTGGAAGAGTTTTTTTTTTAGACGGAGTCTCACTCTGTCACCCAGGCTAGAGTGCAGTGGTGTGATCTCGGCTCACTGCAACCTCGGCCTCCTAGGTTCAAGTGATTCTCCTGCCTCAGCCTCCCGGGTAGCTAGGATTACAGGGACCCATCACTGCACCCAGCTAATTTTTGTATTTTTAGTAGAGAGAGGATTTCACTCTGTTGGCCAGGCTGATCTCAAATTCCTGACCTCAAGTGAACTGCCCGCCTCAGCCTCCCAAAGTGTTGGGATTTCAGGGGTGAGCCACCAGGCCTGGCCAAGAGTGGAAGAAAATTTGCATGTAAGTGAACTTGCACAGTTCAAACCTGTGTTGTTCAGGGTCAGCCATATCTTCTCCCAGTATATGGGTTCTCTTTTTACTTTCTTGATGGTGTCCTTTGAAGCATGAATGTTTTCAGTTTTGGTGAAGTCTAATTTATTTGTTTGTTGCTTATGGTTTGGGGTCATATGTAAGAAGTATCACCTAATCTAGGGTTATGAAGATTTATTCTTCTCATTGTTTTATAATCTAGCTCTTAACTGTAGGTTGATTGTCCATTTTGAGTTAATTTGAGTGTATGTTGTGAGTAAGAGGTTCAACTTACTCTTTTGGATGTGGATATCCTGTTGCTCCAGCACCATTTGTTGAAAATACTATTTTTTCCCCATTGAAATGACTTGGCATTCTTGTTGAAAATCAGTTGACCATAAATGTTAGGCTTATTTTTGGACTCTCAGTTCTATTCCATTAATCTGTATGTCTGTCTTTATGCCAGTACCCCACTGTCTTGATTACTGTATTTTGCACTAAGTTTTGAAATTGAGAAGTGTGAATCATCCAACTTCTGTTACCCTCAAGAGTGTTTTGGCTTTTCTGGGTCTCTTTCATTTCCATATAAATTTTAGGATCAATTTGTCAATGATAAAAAAACAAAGCAGCTGGAACTTTTGATAGAGATTGGGTTGAATCTGTTGTGCCCACTGGCATTTGGCTGAGACTTCAGCTTGTTACCTCTTTTGGACTAGTTGCGTGGACCTCATTTTAGCACATAAATGTGATGTTATCAGGGTTTGGTTATTAACTTTAGATTACAAATGTTTGGGAACTTAAAAATGTTATTCACGGCTGGGTGCAGTGGTTCACGCCTATAATCCCAGCACTTTGGGAGGCTGAGGTGGGTAGATCACCTGAAGTCAGGAGTTTGAGACCAGCCTGAGCAGTATGATGAAACCCGTCTCTACTAAAAATACAAAAAATTAGCTGGGCGTGGTGGCAGGTGCCTGTAGTTCAGCTACTTGGGAGGTTGAGACAGGAGAATTGCTTGCTTGAACCTGGGAGGTGGAGGCTGCAGTTGGCTGAGATTGTGCCAGTGCACTCCAGCCGGCGACAGAGCCTCTAAGACTCCACCTCTCTCTCTCTCTCTCTCTCTCTCTCTCTCTCTCTCTCTCTCTCCCTCTCTCCCTCCCTCTCTCTCTCTCTCACACACACACACACACACACACAGAATAAAATTTTATTCACCTATAACATACATACAGAAATAATCAGTATTCACTTTAGTGACTATTTGCAGAGTGAACACACCTACGTAACAGGAGTCCAGATCTAAAAAGGAACATTGCCTGTATCATTGAGGACTTTTTGATGTTTGCATTGATTCATTCAGATTGTTTCATTTTCCCGTATGTTCTAGTAGAGTTGAAGGCTTGTTATTTTTTTCTTTTTCTAAAAAAAAACAAAAACAAGAGTCTTGCTCTGTCACCCAGACTAGAGTGCAATGGTGCCATCTCGGCTCACGTTAGCCTCCACCTCCTGAGTTCAGGTGATTCTCCTGCCTCAGCCTCCTGAGTAGCTGGGATTACAGGTGCCCACCACCACACCTGGCTCATTTTTGTATTTTTAGTATAGACAGGTTTTCACCATGTTGGTCAGGGTGGTCTTTAACTCCTGACCTCAGGTGTTCCACCTAGGTGCCTCAGCTTCCCCAAGTGCTGGGATTACAGGTGTGAGCCACCACGCCCCGTTGGCTTATTTTACCTGTATATTTGGAACATCAGTAGGTAGCATAGTGCATGGTTGAGATCATGGACTTTGGGCCTCAGCTGCTGGGGTTTAAATTCTAGCTTTACCACCTATTAGGTGTGAGACTGTGGGCACGTTCCTTAACCCTTATGTGCCCCAGTTTCCTCATCTATAAAATGGAGACAAAACTACCTCATCGGGAGGATTGCTTGGAAAATTGCCTGATGATTGCAGTAAGTGCCATATGTGTATTAGCTATTATTCATATTATTACTTTTTTTGTTGTTTTTGTATTTGTATTTCTTTAGTAGAATATAAGCTCCTTGTCTGACTTGTTTATCATGGCAAGCCCAAAGACTAGCACTGTGCCTGGCACATAATAGATACTCAACACATTTTTGAGAAAGGAAGGAGGGGATTTTAAATAATAGATGGAATTCCTAAATCCTTTTCTAAAACTGCCTTTGACAGCTATACTGTCTTTCATTTACAACAGCTTCTGGAGCTATTTGACAGCGAAGACCCTCGGGAACGGGACTACTTAAAAACAGTTTTACACAGAATTTATGGCAAGTTTCTTGGTCTTAGAGCATTTATCCGAAAACAGATTAACAATATTTTTCTAAGGTAAGTGGAGGGTGATGGAGGAACAAGGAGAAGCAAAGTTGATGTTTTTATGGAAGTATTAAGTAAATCACAAATATCTGAAAACAATATACTGACTTATCTTTCTCCCTTTCTGCCTTCCTTCCTTCTGCTGTTCTCTCTCCCTCCTCTCCCTCTACCCACCTCCCCCTCCTCTCTTCTCCCGCTCCTCTTCTCCTTCCTCTCATTTCCTCCTCCTCTTCCTCTTTTCCTCTTCCTCCTCCCCCTCCACCCCTCCCACTCCTTTTTCTCTTCTCGGCCTCTCCTCCTACTCTCCCCGTCCCCTTCCTCTCCCCTGCTCTCCTCCCTCTCCCCTGCTCTCCTCCCTCTCCCCTGCTCTCCTCTTTCCCCTTCTCCTCCTCCCCTCTTTCTCTCTTCTCCCCTCTCCTCCTGTCTTCCTTTCTTCTCCCCTCTTCTCCTCCTTTCTTTCCCCCTCTCCTCCTCTCCTCTTCCCTCCCCTCCTATTCTCTTCCCTGCCTCCTCTTCCTGTCTTCCCCCTCCTCCTCCCTCTCCTCCTGTCTTCCCCCTCTTCTATTCCTCTTTTTCTCCTCTCTACCTCCTTCTCCTCCCCTCTTCTTTCTTCCTTTCTTCTCTTCTCTCCTTCTCCTCTTTTCTCCCTCTCCTCCTCCTCCTCTCTTCCCCCCTCCTCCTTCCCCACTTCTGCTCCTCCTCTCCTCCTCCCCCGTCTCTTTTTTCTCCTCTCCTCCTTTTTCCTCCCCTTTCTCCTCCTCTTCTCTTTTTTCAGGTTTGTTTATGAAACAGAACACTTCAATGGTGTAGCTGAACTGCTGGAAATATTAGGAAGGTGAGCACTTTTTTCTAATTGCTAATCTCAGGTGAATATTATTTTAAAAAGTAGATTCAGGTAGCACTGAGATGCTCACCTATCTCTCTTGCTGTATGTACATTAGGTCTCTCTCATTTGTGCCTGTTAGCCTGTTTTCCAACTGAATCTACAAGACATGATTTCATGTTCCTTTTGTTCCACAATTATGCATTGCCAGTTCACTGAAATGACTGAAGGAACTGACAGTTCATTCATTACTACAAAGATGATATATCTAACTGTGATCAGGCCAGTTACTCCAAAACATCTCATTCTCATTAGTCTTTAGGCCATCTGGTCCCTTGCCTTATCTGTTGAAAGCAAGTATATAATAAATTGGAAAGACTGCCATTTTCAAAGGAGTTGTGTATCCAGGTATAGTCCTTGAACAGCTGCTGCCTGGAGTAGTGGAATGAATTGGAAAGAGCTGTGGTGTTAAGTTTCCGCACACAAGGGAGGCGAATGTAGCTGAACGATGTGATTACTTAATCTTTTCTCCTAATATGAGGAGAAAGGGAAGGTGAAGTCACATGGCTGTCTCTTGGTGACTTCCCTAGGCTGGGCAGAGGTGTCAGGAATGAGAAGAAATGATGTCTGGAAATGGAAAAGGTCATATTTAAGGAGGAAGCAAGCAAGGCAGCCATTATTTACAGAAGGAAAAGGGAGGGAAAATAAAGGGTCTTGATAAAGAGCTTTTGCAAACTATTTGACTAATTTTAGGAGCACAGCCCTTGTTGGATGATCAGAAGCAGATTTTCTTCTCTTAAATTTTATTACAACTTACTGTGATCTGTGAAGTCATTAAGAAATCCTGGCTGGGCGAGGTGGCCCACGCCTATTATCTCAGCACTTTGGGAGGCCAAGGTGCGCAGATCACTTGAGGTCAGGAGTTCCAGACCAGTCTGGACAACACGGTGAAACCCCACCCATCTCTAATAAAAATACAAAAAAATTAACCAGGCGTGGTGGCGTGTGTCTGTAATCCCAGCTACTTGGGAGGCTGAGGCATGGCAGTCGATTGAATCCCGAAGGTGGAGGTTGCAGTGAGCTGAGATTGGGGCCACTGTACTTCCAGCCTGGGTGATAGAGCAAGACTCTCTCTCAGAAAAAAAAAAAAGAAATCCTGAATGCCACTGGGGTGGGTATTCTGTTGTTTTGTACAAACAGACTGATTAAGTTTAATTAATATCATAAGAACAGTTTGTCTCAGTTTAACTTGTTGTGGTAACATTGCTAATTTGCGTCTCCTTTTTCTCCCTAGTATTATCAATGGCTTTGCTTTACCTCTTAAGGCAGAACACAAACAGTTTCTGGTGAAAGTGTTGATCCCCTTACACACTGTCAGGAGCTTATCACTCTTCCACGCACAGGTAGGAGGATTTTGTACAACTACTTTTAGAAGAAAAATAAAAAGTTTGCAAACTCATTGTTTTTTTTGATATTGATATAGCCTTCATTTCTAAAGAAAGAGACTTGTTAAAGTTTAGAATACTCCCAGAGGGAAATAAAAATGTGTATATTTTTTTCTATGCACCGTAGAATCATGGAAATATTTTTAAAGTGGGAGGTCATTTCATTTTACAGATGACTTAGGTGACTTGGCCAAGTGCACACAATAACATATTGAATGTATTACATATAATAAAATGCACAGGAGCTTATCAGATGTAGACATTGGGACCTATATAACCATATTTTAATTTTCTTGAATATTTTGTTCCATCCTACTTTGCATTAGACTATCAGTTGCTCTTTTTGCCTCCTCTTCTAGGTCACTCACCATGTCTTTATCACTTTCTACACACAGACACTCTCACAAGTAAACAAATCAATCAGTAGTTTCACATCTTTTTGTTTTTTTTTTCAAGCCTTCATCACTGTAAAAAATGTACTCTGTCTTGCCCCCGTTCTGATTTTTGTGATAACACTGCCTTGCATGGTCACCATCTCATTGGGGGCAGATAAATTATTGGGTAGTATTTTAAATTTTGGATAGGAAAGTTTAAAATACTACTAGATTCTTACTGCCTGTTCCCCTCATTGGGAAGTTCGAGTTTGCATAAAAAAGTAACACATTTTTCTAAGGCGTGTTCCTCTTTAAATGTGAAATCTGTATTTTGAGGAAAAATTAGTCCATACGTTTCTAATTTAGAACACCATCAAAATGTTCTTTTGCAAGGGTGATTTCCTTGTCCAAGAATCTTTACAAGCCCTTTTATAAATCTTGCCTTTGGTTTTTGAAATTGGGTATCATATTTCATAATTATTATTTTAAAAAATCTTACTTAGATATGTTAGTACAACTCTTCTTACATTTCTCCAGGTTCTAACTGGCAGGTGCAACCTTTTATCTCCTCTTGAAACTGCTTTAGTTTGCATGTGCCATTCCAGGCAATTGGCAAAGTTTTTCTTAAGTGCTTATTTCCCATAGAGGATTATTGTGGAACTATGGTAAAACTCAGTACTGTTGAAATTAGCAAAGACAGAAAGGAAGCTCCTGAGATTGTAGCTCAAAGTATATGAGGTGAGATAATTCCACAATATGCCGAGTGTGGTGTCTCACCTCTGCTTTTCATTAGCTGCATACTTCATGTCCTAATACTCTTTTGAGACTGAGTTTTGCTCTTGTTGCCCAGGCTGGAGTGCAATGGTACCATCTCGGCTCACTGCAACCTCTGCCTCCTGGGTTCAAGCAATTCCCCTTCCTCAGCCTTCCAAGTAGCTGGGATGACAGGCATGCACTACCACGCCCAGCTAATTTTGTATTTTTAGTAGAGACAGGTTTCTCCATGTTGGTCAGACTGCTCTTGAACTCCTGACCTCAGGCGATCTGCCAGCCTCATCCTCCCAAAGTGCTGGGGTTACAGGCATGAGCCACTGCTCCCAGCCCTAATACTCTTTTTTAAAAAAAAGTTCTCTTGGAGCCATATTAATATTAGTCTTTGGCTTGAAAAAGTAGCTTCTTGTTTTGCTTTATATAGATTTTATTTTTATGATAATCAAAATGAATCGAATGTGAAGTTATTAAAACCAATCTGGAAACCTTTTAGGAAGTTTTAATGGTATATCTTTTGAGCCCTTACTATATAGAATTTAAAGTTTTGCCTTTTATTTTATTTTTTACTCAGCTGGCATATTGTATAGTACAGTTTCTGGAGAAAGATCCTTCACTCACAGAACCAGTAAGTCTTTTTTCCATGATTTCAGAAACTTCAGAAAAAATTACCTTTCCAAGAAGTATATGTGAAAAATTAAATGCCATTTGTTTTTCTCCTTTTCGTTTTAGGTTATTAGGGGGTTAATGAAATTTTGGCCTAAAACATGTAGTCAAAAAGAGGTAAGTGCTTACTGTCAAAGACTGTTCATAGCTTACTAAGTATTTTGCTGAGTGCCAAGCATTGGGCTAAGCATGTATAAAACTGCATCACCTCATTTAAACCTCACTATAAACTCTATAAGGCAGGGCTGTCAAAACTCTTGTTTTACTAGTTACGAAACTGTAGAGAGGTTAAATAGCCTGCCCCAGTACTCTAAGTAAGTACAGATGATTAAGCCAGAAGTCGCCTCCCTGACTCCTGAATCCTGGGTTTTTATTCACTGTGTTCAGCTTCAGGTAAGCCCAGGCCAGTCCCCAGTCATGTGTCCAGTTGTCTAGCTTTGTTGATGTTCCCTGCCTAGTGGCCCCCTTCATAATATGAAGGTTTTGCTGTCACTATAGATAGATGCTAGGGCAGCCTAGTGCATAGTATATAGGTGGATCTCACTGTGTGTCATTTTTTTTTTTTTTTTTGGGAGACAGAGTCTCACTCTGTCACCAGGCTGGAGTATAGTGGCCTGATCTCGGCTCACTGCAACTTCTGCCTCCTGGGTTTAAGCGATTCTCCTGCCTCAGCCCCCTGAGTAGCTGGGATTATAGGTGTGCACCACTACAGCCAGCTAATTTTTGCATTTTAAGTAGAGACGGGGTTTCATCATGTTGGCTAGGATGGTCTCGATCTCTTGACCTTGTAATCCACACACCTTGGCCTTCCAAAGTGCTGGGATTACAGGCCTGAGCCACTGTGCTTGGCCATCTTTTTTTTTTTTAATTTTTTAAGGCGGAGTCTCACCCTTTTGTCAAGGCTGGAGTGCAGTGGTACGATCTCAGCTCACAACAACCTTTGCCTCCCGGGTTCAAGCGATTCATCTGCCTCAGCCTCCTGAGTAGCTGGGACTACAGGCATGTGACACCATGCCCAGCTAATTTTTTTTGTTTTTTTAGTAGACATGGGGTTTCACTATGTTGCTCAGACTGGTCTTGAACTCCTGACCTTGTGATCCGCCCACCTCGGCCTCCCATAGTGCTGGGTTTACAGGTGTAAGCCACCTCGCCCGGCCTGTGTCATCTTAAAATAGACTACAGACCTTTAGTTTCAACCATTCACAAATGACCCTGGAGGATTCAGACCCACAATCATTTGTACCTTTGCTGAGAACTCACTGGGCATGTACTACTTTGTGAGGTTGTTATACGATAGTTGGTGAATTTCTTAGCTGGAGGCGAGTGAAACTGAGCACCAGCTCTGCAGCCACTCTTCTGGAAGGTTAGCAACCATGTGGAAAATGGCTCAGAAAAAAAAGATCAGCTGTTAGTTTTATATTTGGCTAAAATTTTGGGAGAAATTCTGTATGCATATTAACAAATGGCAAGGGTCTACTAAATTTTACTTTTAGCAGAAACGCCTTCCTTCTCAAATCAGCTTCAATTCTCCAAACCCTATTTTAATTTCAGAAAGTCATTTAATTTCTTAAAATCTGTTAGGTAAAAATTGAACTGTTCATTGCTACCCAGATGCATCTCAAAATATGAAGGCATTGTCATTTTTCATATTTTGATTGCTCACTTAATTTTTTTTCAAACTATTTTTTTATAGCTAAATAGGTAAGCTGGCTTTTTATTTCTCTGTCATTTTCCCATTATATTTAAAACAATTGACTCTACTGCGGATTTGGCTCCATATGGTGATCCAATGGTGATCTAAAAACTCTGTTGAGGCACATGATGCTGAGGCCACAAGATTCACTGTGCTCTATGGAGAGCAAGTGTGTGTGTGTGTGTGTGTGTGTGTGTGTGTGTGTGTGTGTGTTGAGAATGAGTCAGTGCATGCTCATGGGTTTCAGGTAGCATCTGCATGTGGGTGAGTCTGCTCATTTGTGTTTCTTGAACTTTTTGTTGTATTAACGAGTACATTCTAGTGGAGCATTGAGCATGTAGCGGGGGCTATAAGTATTTGGCAAATGACCACATTTGAACTTTTGCTCTTCTATGAGGGGGCCATTTTCTCATTGTGTGTGTGTGTGTGTATATGTGTTTAAAGTATTGTGGAAAGAGAGCTAGGTTACTAGTAATAAAGTGGAAAGCCCTATGGGGTCAGTTTTGCTTCCCAGGGGCCAGTGCAGTGTGTGAGTGTCCTTTGTTCTTGTAATATACATAGCAAATAGAGTATTTTCTCCAAGTATGTCTAATCATATTTTCATGCTGAAGGGAACTTCCTTTTAACAAGTGCCCTGTGGTGAATTCTTTGTGGAATGACCATCTTCTAACATGGGATAATGCATGGTTCATTTATGTTTTTTTTTTTTTTCTCCTGCATGCACTTAGGGCATAAATATTTGATTTTATGTGTAAATTTTTCTTAAAATAGTGCAGACTCTTATTAATCCTCCTTGTTCTTGTGGATTTTTCGTGGTATGCCTCACATCTTGTGTTTTGCTTATACTTACAGGTCATGTTCCTTGGGGAACTGGAAGAAATATTGGATGTGATTGAACCTTCACAATTTGTTAAAATCCAAGAACCTTTGTTTAAACAAATTGCCAAGTGTGTATCTAGCCCCCATTTTCAGGTTAGTAGTAAAGAGGTCATGAGCCAGGGAGCATGAGTTATTTTGGTTCAATTGTATTTGTTTCTAAAGCAATGTAATGGACAACGGCTACCTATTGTTTTTTTGCTGTTTCCTCACATGATTATATATATATATATATATATATATGTTTCTTTTTTTTTTGAGGTGGAGTCTTGCTCTGTTGCGCAGGCTGGAGTGCAGTGGAATGGTCTTGGTTCACTGCAACCGCTGCCTCCCAGGTTCAAGCGATTCTTCTGGCTCAGCCTCCCAAGTTGATGGGACTACAGGCGTGTGCCACCACGCCCAGCTAATTTTATTTATTTATAGTAGAGACGGGGTTTCCTGTGTTAGCCAGGATGGTCTCAATCTCCTGACCTCGTGATCCACCCACTTTGGCCTCCCAAAGTGCTCATGCCTGTGCATGAGTCACCGCACCCGGCCCTCATGATAATAATTTTAACAGTAGCCACCTTACCTTGAGCACCTGCTACCAAACAGCCATGGTAATGGTGGTTTCTCTCCAGTAACTTTAATTCTCCTAACACCCTAGAAGGAGGGCATTGTGTTTTTTATGGATTTACAGATGTGAACACTGAAGCTCAAAGTGGTCAAAAGCATTTCAAGTAAATTCCTAAATAAGTGGGCTGGTGGGGTCTCTAGTGTGTAAGAGAGAATGCTAAGTAATGTTTAAGAGGAAAAGGAGAAAACCTAATACCACACTGGATACTTTATGTACATTTATAAATGTCCCATTATCCTCTGAAGCTTTTCTAGATTAAAAAAAAAAAAAAAAAAAACGAGGCTCAGAGAACATTTTGCCATAGGTCCCAAGTTAATAGAGGGTAGAGTCAAATTTTGATCTTTGGTGTAGCTTCTGCTAAAGCCAGTGACCTTCCCATGGCACTGCTCTGCCTCCTCGTGGCCACTCAGGAGCAACGCTTTTCTTTCTTGGGGCCATGGCTGCAGTGCTGTGGAACCCACACAGGAGGGAAGAAGGGTAGATTGAGGGTTACCAAACAGGTTAGGTTTGATCGTTTGGCTGCATCACCTAAGGGCCCTATCATAAACCTAGACTCTGCCTATTGATTGGAAGAGATTGTTCAGATTGCAGTTCTTAGCACAGAACCATACATCTAATGGTGTCATTGGATGGTGGACTTTTTCTCTAAGCTGTCATTATGCTGCACAGTTAGAGACATTGGTTGCTGCCCTTGTTTTGATTTCTGACCAAAAGACATGTTAATATCTGAAAGCAGTGACCTTATGGCAATCTAGCAGTTGTACCGTAAAGCAAGAATAAAGAAGGTAGAAACCGTGACAAGCTTGGATCAAAATGGAGAAATTATGGAATAGTATATAGGTATTTGATACCACTCAGGGTCTTTACTGCTCACACATATGGATTATTTACCTTATTTTTCAGTTTTCAGCAGGACATTTGACATTTCCTGGAGGTCAAGGAACAAATATCTTTTAAAAAATGAGCATCACCAGAAAGGCCTAAGTGATACTCAGAAGCTTAGAAAAGAGAGGCCATGTCTTGGTCAGCTCGGGCTGCTGTAACATAACACCATAGACTGGCGATTTAAACGACATTTATATTCTCATAGTCCTGGAGGCCAGAAGTTTGAGATCGGGGTCTCAGCATGGTTGGTTTCTGTGAGATCCTGCTTTCTGGCACGCAGATGGCCCTCTCCTTGCCGTGTACTCATATGGCCTTTCCCGGCATGTACATACGGAGAGAGGCAATCTCGCTCTCCTCTTCTTATAAGGCCCCCAGTCTTATCTGGTTAGGACCCCACCCTGTGAGCTCATGTAACCTTCATTACCTCCTAAAAGTCTTATGTCCAAATATAGTTACGTTGGGAGTTAGGACTAAAACGTATGAATTGTGGAGGGGCCACAATTCAATTTATAGCAGAAAGAAAAAAGAATTTTAAATTATTTGACAGAAGTAAAATTGAGAACAAAGGGAAGAGGACCTTGTTTATTTATTAAGCATTCATTAAGAAATCTTTGCTGGCTTATCCACAAATATTTATTAATGAATTTGCTGGTTCATCCATTTACTGAGTGGCCACCCTATGTAGCCAGATGCTTATCATTGATTGCCTCAGGTGTGGCATTAGGATCTGAGGTCTGCATGCTGGTGACACTGTCTCTGTGTGTGCAGAAGGACAGTGGATCCCAGGAAAGTAGTGGCTCTGTCCTATTGTCAGACAGAGTAATTTTTAACTTTGCATAAACAACACCTTTCCTCTGTAAGGGGCTGGATGCATACTTCTGTAAGTGGTTTTACGTAATAAAATAGATACATAAAAGATTAAGGAACTTGTTAGAGTTAAATGGCAGGTAAATTTTGGACTCTGGGGGAATGTCCAAAGAGACCGTGGAAGGATGCTAGTAAAGAAGGAAGCAGCTGGGATTTTCCTCCAACCAGTTATATGTTCAGAACAGCCGCATTCTTATTCTTTCTTTTCTCCCTCTCCTTGCCTCCTGCTTTATCTGTGTCAGCTACCTCATTTGCTTCGATGGTTCCCAAACACATTGTCCTCCTCCATGCCTCTGCCCTCCTTTCCTTAATGCCCTCTACCTGGAATGCCCTTTCCTTTATCCTTCGAAACCCAGCTTAAATGCCGCTTGCCTATGTTACCTCCCTCCCTCTCTCTCTCTCTCTCTCTCTCTCTCTCTCTCTCTCTCCCTCTCTCTCTCTCTCTTTCTTTCTTTCTCTTCTTCTTCCTCCTCCTCTTCCTCTTCCTCTTCGTTTTGAGATGGTGTCTCACTGAGTCACCCAGGCTGGAGTGCAGTGGTACAATCTCGGTGCACTACTGTACCTGCCTGCCGGGTTCAAGTGATTCTCGTGCCTCAGCCTCTCAAGTAACTGGGACCACAGGTGCACCCCACCATGCCCAGCTAATTTTTATATTTTTAGTAGAGATGGGGGTTTCACCTTGTTGGCCAGACTGGTCTCAAACTCCAGACTCAAATGATCCACCCACCTTGGCCTCCCAAAGTGCTGGGATTACAGGCATGAGCCCCATGCTGTAATCCCCGCACTCAGCCCCATCTATGTTATATTTCTGCCACCATTCTGCTTCCCAAGTCATCTGTGTTGTTGATTCTACTCTGCCTTGACACTTTATTTATGTATCTGATATAGCGTCTGTCACAGTTTACATTGGATAGGCTTATAAATGCCCCCTCTCCCACCAGTATGTGAACTCCTTAGGGATAACAGAGTAAAGAGGTTAAGAATAGAGACTTTGGAATCTGCTACTTACTAGCCATGGGACATTGAGACAATGGCTTATCTCTCTGAGCCTCAGATTCTTAATCTACAAAATAGAAAAGTTATGGTACCTACTCTGTTGGTTGTGAGGAAATGAGATATTATATATGTGAGACACATAGCACGGTGCCTGGCATGTAAACATGTGGTAATGACTGTTTTCTTTGTACTCTCAGGGTCTAATGCCTAATCAGTCCCAGGATTTTTTTTTTTTTTTTAAACCAAGCTGAATAATGCACATGGAAAAATTCTGATTTCTCAGAGTCTTTCAGTGGATACATCTAATACCATTTTGTTCTCTCCTTTTTTATTTTTTTTTATTTTTTATTTTTTTATTTTTATTTTTGAGACAGAGTCTCACTCTGTCGCCCAGGCTGGAGTGTAGTGGCACAACCTTGGCTCACTGCAACCTCCACCTCCTGAGTTCGAGTGATTCTCCTGCCTCAGCCTCCCAAGTAGCTGTGATTACAGGCAAGTGCCACCATGCCCAGCTAATTTTTGTATCTTTTGTAGACATGGGTTTTCACCATGTTGGCCAGGCTGATCTGGAACTCCTGACCTCAGGTGATCCACCCACCTCAGCTTGCCAAAGTGCTGGGATTACAGGTGTGAGCCACTGCACCTGGCCTTGTTCTCTTCTAAACCACAGCTTCTTAATCTGTATAAATGAAGGAAGCCACCCTTTTTTTCCCTTTTCCACTGTGACTAGCCTTTTTAGAGATTTTAGATTTTGTTTTTGAGATATTCTTTTGAATTCATGGTGGACAGAGAAAAGGGATCTGAGAGAGCAGAGAGGGGTAGTTGCAGCCAGTGTCCCTGGGACCAGAAACTGAGCAGATGTCTCCTGGCTTGCCCAGGAAGGGACCAGAAACAAACTCTGGAAGAAGACCTAGAAGTAAGGCCCCAGCCTTTACCATGATTTACTCCATTGTAATATCACCTACATTACTCAGTCTCTGAATCTCTGTGTCCTCATCTGTAAAATGAGCACAATGGTATTTACTTCTGGGATGGTGGTAAGGATGATACATTGTACTTGCTGTGTAGGCACAGTGCCTGCCCATAGGAGGTGTTTAGTAAATATTGACCACTTTACAGGGATGGGCAACCATGGGTGTTCCTGAGTAGCTGTGACTGAATGCTAACCATATACTGGGCACTGGGTTCGATCCAAGTGTGCGTGATGAAAAAGGTGAGCCAGGAAAGGGGACCAGTAAGATGTGTTAAAGTGATGTCAGGGCCGGGCACAGTGACTCATGCCTGTAATCCCAGCTCTTTGGGAGGCCGAGGCGGGCGGATCACGAGGTCAAGAGATCAAGACTATCCTGGCCAACATGGTGAAACCTTGTCTCTACTAAAAATACAAAAAAATTAGCTAGATGTGGTGGCACGCGCCTGTAGTCCCAGCTACTCAGGAGGCTGAGGCAGGAGAATTGCTTGAACCCGGGAGGCAGAGGTTGCAGTGAGGTGAGGTCGCGCCACTGCACTCCAGCCTGGCGCCTGGTGACGGAGTGAGACTCCGTCTCAAAAAAATAAAAATAAAAATAAACCGATGTCAGGAAAGTGTGGAATGAGATGACATAGGCAGAATTAGAGGAGAATACAAATTAACGGGAAAACTTCTTTTCCTTCCTCAAGTCAATGAAGCCCTTGAAGCACTCTGGATTTTTTTTTGGTGGGAAGGGAGACAGGGTCTTGCTCTGTCACTCAAGCTGGAGTTCAGTGGTGTGATCTTGGCTCACTGCAACCTCTGCCTTGAATGATTTAAAAATAGTCTTTTAAAATACTTTTGTTGGGAAAGATTTATAATTTTGTTTTATCTTTGTCTTTTTCTCTCTCTTAACATTTTATTTTTCTTTTCCCAAAGGTGGCAGAAAGAGCACTCTATTACTGGAATAATGAATACATCATGAGTTTGATAGAAGAAAACTCTAACGTCATCCTTCCCATCATGTTTTCCAGCCTCTATAGGATTTCAAAAGAACATTGGAATCCGTAGGTTTTCAGTTTATTTCCTCCTTTCTCTTCCTCTCTTCCTCTCTTTTTCTTTTCCTTTAGTCTTATTATGGGCCAGATGCTGTCCTTGTTGCTGAAGAGGTATGTGAAAAGATAAAATCCTTACCTCTGGGGATTCACTGACTGGAGAAGATAAACAGATACTTTAACAAAATTGCAGTTAAAGTATCTGTTTACTTGACAGGGTTCTTGATCTATCTGTGACGGTAGCAGATCTTTTGGGGAGCACTGCAGCTGCAAGGAAAGGTGTGTAGTTGCTGATGGCATGGCCATGCTTAGAGGGAATCTGAAAGGAATTTGGCAGGTGGATGGCATAGGGAGAACCCTTTCAGACAGTGGGTCCACCCATCACGTTAAAAGGCACAAAGATGTAAAAAGCACCTGTCCGTTTCCGAGACTTTTAATTTTCAGAGGGCTGAGGCACAAGGTCTTTTGAGGAAGAGTGCTGGAAGATGTGGCTAGAAAAGATTGTGGGACTCGTGTGAGCCTTCACCATGTTAGAGATGAGAAAGTACTGAAGGGTTGTAAGTGGGGAAGTGTTCTGCCTAGGTTTGCATTTTAGCGTGATCTGTTTCTTAACAGGCAACTCAGTCATTATCATGTATCTCTCGGAAAAGAAAAAGTTTAAAATCATCAAGGAAAAGTTTAACATGCAGCCCGGTGAAAGTTAAAGCATTCTGAATTTGAATGCCTTCACATGTTTCTCTGTGGAATAGAAGGAAGATTTAATGTGGCATTTAAAAATTAGTAGATATAATTCAGTATATTTCATCTTTTAAAATTTTGCACGTAATTATAAAATATCACATTTCTCATTTTTCAAAGTTGCCAAATTTTATTAATAGAACTAGTAAAAATAAGGAGCTGATAAACAGTTAAGTTCCTTTATACAGATTGTCTCTTGAGAACCTGGAGAAGTGTTCTAGCAAGTGTCTGTAACCACCCAGTGTGCTATATTTGGTGCTTTCCCATTGTTGCCCTTGGGAGGAAGGTCATTCTGGAACCTTAACAGAAAAAAATTTAAAGCTTCCTTTTAATGGCACAAGGCAGAAGCTACACAGCAAGTGTACTTTCTTATAAATGTTTTGGAAACATCAGACTTATGGTTTATTTAATATATGGCTAATTTTTACCAAGGCCTTTTTCAGTGGTATTAGGAGCATGTTTGTTGCAAAACGGAAGCCATAGATATTTTTGCAAAGGGAAAAGCTATTTAGACTCTAGTCTGAAGCTATCAAGACCATCATAACCTTGTCCTCACATTGCCCAAGAGCTCATTCTTGATAAGTATGGGCTACCATTTTGGCTGTTTAGCTGTATAGTGTCCCATAGCTAATAGCAACCATCCCAGCTTGCCAGTTATCTCTGTTTGTTTGTTTGTTTATTTTAAGATGGAATCTTGCTCTGTTGCCCAGGCTGGAGTGCAATGGCATGATCTTGGCTCACTGCAACCTCTGCCTCCTGGGTTCAAGCAATTCTCCTGCTTCAGCCTCTTGAGTAGCTGGGACTACAGGCGCCTGCCACCACACCCGGCTAACTTTTGTATTTTTAGTAGAGATGGGGTTTCACCATATTGGTGAGGCTGGTCTCAAACTCCTGACCTTGTGATCCACCCCCCTTGGCCTTCCCAAGTGCTGGGATTACAGGCATGAGCCACCGTGCCCAGCCAGCTTGCCAGTTATCTTATCAGCATATCTTTTGGGTCAACAGAACTGGTGCAGATCACAGCTAGACAAATAACTCATATTAAATCACCCAGCCTACACAGGGTCTTGGGTTCATTTCTTTGGATACAAATAATTTATATATATATATTTAAAACATTTGTTTCTGAGGAAGTAGCTTCTGATTTTGGTGAATTCTGTGTATTATTTAGAAAATAGAATTCAATGCAAATACAGGTGTCTAAGGTTAGTGCTATCATAGGCCCTTATTTTAGGGTGAAGTTGCTTTACTTTTATACTTGCCTTTTTATTAAGTGAAATTATCAAGTGCCTACAGGCAGCTCTATTCTGGGTGCCAACAATTAGAAGGGCAAAATGAGATATTTTTTCTAGTTCTACCACCCCTCAGAAAATTATCTTGCCTTGAATGGCAAAGAATAGAAATCTCTTGATGTGGAAATGAACTGTAGGTCATGTTCAGTTGTTCCAACTAAAAAGGAATACAGACAATGTGCAGTACAAGGAACTCATTCAGACAAAAGTTGTGCTTTTGCTTTCTTCCTTCAGTATCCTATTTTATAAGACTTATTAACATGTTCCCTTTTTTCTGTGCTTTACAGGGCTATTGTGGCGTTAGTGTACAATGTGTTGAAGGCATTTATGGAAATGAACAGCACCATGTTTGACGAGCTGACAGCCACATACAAGTCAGATCGTCAGCGGTAACTTTTTAAAGCTTTTTTGTCAGCTGTGCATAAACTACTGAGTTTTTTCCTTGCTCTTTGAAGTTGCCTAATTGTACCCCAAATCTTAAACAGCACAATGTTATTTACAGTCATGCATTGCTTAACAACTGGTATGTTCTGAGAAATGCATCATTAGGCATTTGTATTGTGTGAACATCATAAGTGTACAGTAATTGCACAAACCTTGATGGTACAGCCTGCTGTGACACATCTGAGCTATATGGTATTGCCTGTTCTTCCTGGGTTACAAACCTATATAGCGTGTTACCATGGTGACTACTGTAGCCAGTTGTAACACAAGTCACTAGGCGGTAGGACTTTTTCAAGCCTTTTTTTTTTTTTTTGAGACAGAGTCTCACTCTGTTGTCTAGGCTGGCATGCAGTGGTGCAGCTTCAGCTCACTGCAGCCTCCATCTCCCAGGTTCAAGTGATTTTTCTGCCTCAGCCTCCTGAGAAACTGGGATTACAGGCGCACAGCACCACGCCCGGCTAATTTTTTGTACTTTTAGTAGAGACAGAGTTTCACCATGTTTGCCAGGCTGATCTTGAACTCCTGACCTGTGATCCGCCCGCTTCTGCCTCCCAAAGTGCTGGGATTACAGGTGTGAGCCACCGCACCCAGCCTCAAGCCTGTTAAAATTTTATGGGACCACCATGGTATATGTGGTCTGTGTTGACCAAAATGTTGTTACTCAGCACATGACTGTATTTATATATTCATTGTTCAACGCTTATTAACTGTGCCTTTATTACTGTGCCACTGGGTAACAAAGCTTTGTGACACTGTCATTTTGATAAGTCTGCTTTCCTCCCTTTCTTTAATAATATTTCAGTTCTGCCTCAGGTTGAGAGCCCAGCATATAACTGGTATTAGGGACTATCAGGTAGTTTGCTACCTGGATTCACTCCCACTCGGAATTTACTTGAAGTATAATTAGGCAGATCTTGTTCTTCACTCCAGTTGCAGCGGGAATGAAGCACCATTTATCTAGCTCTTGGGCCCAGGACTTACTGGAACTCAACAAATTTATTACAATCTGAAGGGCAGTGAAAAGAACATGAAGGTCAATAGTCCTAACCAGAAATGTTTGAGACCAAATGTGAGCACAACCAGTGGAACTCTTTACAATGAATGCTTATGGCTTAGTTAAGCCTTTCTTGATTTCATTTTGATGATTCTTCACTTTTGTTATATCTTGTTCAATGTGTTCTATTTTCCAAAAGATGTACTTGGGGAGATCATAGAAACCTAGAGAACCCTTAGTAGTTGAGCCTCTGGTTTGGCTTTGATCACCCGTAAGCAGATGTCAGCTTTGTATATCATAAAACGATGGACCTTTAGAGGGCCCAGAGGTATGTGCAAGTGTTCATACCCAGGGTCTTGCTGAACTTCTGTGGTTCCCTTGCTGCTTTGCTTTGCCTCATTTTTAGTTTGTCACTTGCATTTTATTGACGAAAAGAGCAACGAGGAGAAAGATTTGATGACAGAGAGACCATTGTAATGATTTTTTTTAAGTTACCTGGGATGTGATTTATGAAAACCAACTTAATTATGGAATATGGCAAGTATTTAGCTAGAGACAGAAAGAGGCTGAGATTTTGTACCCAGAATATTGGGATTAATATCAATTATGGGATATGTTAATCCACACTTACATTTTAAACAACTTTTAATTCTTTTGTCTCAAACTCCTGACCTTGTGATCCGCCCCCCTCGGCCTTCCCAAGTGCTGGGATTACAGGCGTGAGCCACTGCCCCCAGCCAGCTTGCCAGTTATCAGCATATCTTTTGGGTCAGCAGAACTGGTGCAGATCACATCTAGACAAATAACTCATATTAAACCACTCGTGCTACACAGGAGCTTGGTTTCATTTCTTTGGATATGAATAATTTATATATATATACATATATATATATAAAACATTTGTTTCTATGGAAGTAGCTTCTGATTTTGAATTTTGATGAATTATATTAGCGATTCTTGCCAATTATTAAATTTATAATAACCCTCCCTGCCCCAAACTTAAATTAAAATCTATAAAGGATGTTACTTAAAAAAAGGGTGAAGAGTACATTTAAACACTGTGGTGCACCATGAAAGGTATATTGTGCATAGCATCTTTTCTTTCAGAGCAATTGAAAGCACTTTATTATTATCCTAGTTGAACCAAGATTCAATTTGTAGAAGCTCATCAAGAATATTGAAGAACTTGGCTGGGCACGGTGGCCAGGTCAAAGCAGGGGTATCATCTCAGGTCCGGTGTTCGAGACCAACCTGGCCAACATGATGATACCCTGTCTCTATTAAAAATATAAAAACTAGCTGGGCATGCACTTGTAGTCCCAGCTACTGGGGAGACTGAGGTAGGAAGATCGCTTGAACCTAGGAGGTGGAGGTGGTAGTGAACTAAGATCACGTCACTGTACTCCAGCTTGGGCCTTGGAGCGAGACTCTGTCTCAAAAAAAAAAAAAATATTGAAGAACTTATTTCTACACAAATCATTTGATTTGTTTTTAATTAACTTCAATGATAAAACTATTTTCTGATTATTATCTATAGTAAGTAGACCAAACCCTTGAAAAGATAAGAATTAACTATGGGGATCAGGAGTAGATAAAACTATGAGGTTGATTGTGATATTCTGGCATATTACAGTGATTTATAATGAGTGAACTATCTTAATGAGAAAATGGGTTTTTAAAAGCAAGGATAATAATTTGTCAAATGAACAGTAGAAGGGTGTATTGACAGATGGAAACACTGGTTTCTCCATAGACATAGGAATAGGACAAGAGAATGAAGACATTTATTTGGTACTATCAGAGAATAACTGAATGGACAAGTTTACTTCAGGATAGCAAGAAGTTAATAGTTTCAGTTCAGATCAATTTTTTTTTTTTTTTTTTTTTTTTTTTGAGATGGTGTCTTGCCCTGTCGCCCAGGCTAGAGTGCAGTGGGGCAGTCTCAGCTTACTGTAGCCTCTGCCTCCCAGGTTCAAACGATTCTTCTGATTTAGCCTCCCAAGTAGCTGGGACTACAGGCATATGCCACAATGCCCTGCTAATTTTAATATTTTTAGTAGAGATGGTGTTTTGCCATATTGGCCAGGCTGATCTTGAACTCCTGCCCTTGTGATCCACCCGCCTTGGCCTCCTAAAGTGCTGGGATTGCAGGCATGGGCTACCGCACCCAGCCTCAAATTTTTAAGTATTACAAATCTGAAAATGGTGGGTGGAATAAGTAGTTAACACTGTTAGATACATATGCCAACATTAGTGCTATGTAAAATTGAAATTAGAAGAGAATTTGACAATATCCCCGGCATGACAGTGTGGTTAAGTGATAAAATTTCCACCCACAGGGAGAGAGAAATGTGGGAAAGATTGGGGGTGACAGTAACTATATCAGAAATATTTAGAATTTTTAAAGATAAAGTTGTCAGTATGAAAGCTGTGTGATGGAGGCCGGGTGTGGTGGCTCATGCCTGTAATCTCAGCACTTTGGGAGGCCTAGGTGGGTGGATCACCTGAGGTCAGGAGCCTGACCAATATGGTGAAACCCCATGTCAAAAAAAATTAAAAATAAAAAAGAAAAGCCCCACAGGATAAATTGCATTGAATGCCATAAATCTCTTGATCAAAAACACAAATGAAACACTTTAGTAACAAGGTGATGAATGGTTTAATGATGCCAGCAGTTAACCAGTTTATGCCTAGTGTTCCATTATTGGAACGCTAAGCTTGTGGGAGTTATTTATATCCTATGCCGAGGGTCGTCACAAAGGTCTGATTTTTCACAAAAATATTTTGCAACTTCCGGCATAAATGGGTTAAAACTGCATATTGAGGCAATGTGAACCTGAAATACATCGAAATGCTTTTTGGTTGAGTAAAATTCTAGCCCTTGCTTACTGTCCCCTTCTCTTTCCAAATAAAAAGGTCATTTTCATCAAAAGTCAACAGGATCTATAGAATTGATTTATATGTACCCCGATTAGTGTTCTTTACTAACATTTATTTAGACCTCATATTATCCCCCGACTGTACTGGGAAACAAAAAGTGATAATTTGCCAAACAGCTTGCTTATGTTTAGAATCCAGAAGGCACCAGGAATGGTGGTACACACCTGTAGTCCCAGCCACTCAGGAGGCTGAAGCAAGAAGATTGCTTGAACCTAGGAGGTTGAGGCTACATTGACCTATGATTGTGCCACTGCACTTCAGCCTGGGTGACAAAATGAGAACCTGTCTCTAAGAAAAAAATAAACATAAATAAAAAAGAATAATAATCTGGAATCCATAATGATTAGATTGGAGGATTATCTAATCTTGCCCTTACTGTCCTATAAATGCAATTTTTCAGGGTCAAATTAACAAATAGGTAATTATGAAAACAGTTCTGCTCATTGAAATTTATATTGTGCAGATTTATATTTGAGATAACTGAAGCTAATTATGGTAAACAAGTCCTAAATTATGAAAATATTACCTATTAAATTATGATACTAATTACCATATTATATAATTCTACATTTCCTCAAGTCTCTAGTGGAATAAGAGTATAAAATTACTTAGGTTTTTCTAGAGTATTTTCGGAGTTGGAGGGGATCAAGGTTAATTTCTGTTGCTTTAGATAATAGAACTTTTAAAAAACATTGGTTATAATGTTTTTAAAAAATGAGGCATTGGTATTACATACAAATTGCACTCAACCCATGTGGATTTTCATGAGTAAAAATTGTATTGTGGCTGAAGTTTAATCCTTGCTAAGTGAGGAAGCGCACGGATTATATCCTCATGCCTGAGATGGTAGAGCAGAGCCCCCATTTTCAGAAATTATCTGAATTCCTGGATTTATGAATGTTAATCTGAGTTAGTTTGTTTGTTTGTTTGTTTGTTTTTTGAGATGGAGTCTCGTTCTGTTGCTCAGGCTGGCATGCAATGGTGCGATCTCAGCTCACTGCAACCTCTGCCTCTAGGGTTCAAGTGATTCTCCTGCTTCAGCCTCCTGAGTAGCTGGGACTACAGACGTGCACCACCATGCCCAGCTAATTTTTGTATTTTTAGTAGAGATGGGGCTTCACCATGCTGGCCAGGTTGAAATCCTGACCTCACGTGATCCACCCGCCTCGGCCTCCCAAAGTGGTTGGAATACGAGTGTGAGCCACTGAGCCCAACCTAGGTCTGCTTTTTATTGGTTCACTGCAACCTGAAAAAACCAGAGACAGTGCAGTGAATTTTTTTAATAAATGTGAATTTATTTAACTTACAATATAGTCTTGTATTCCTGCATCATGTACTTCCTACTTGGTTGATGTTAAAAACCCTTGTTTGTAAAAATGTGGTAATTTTAAAACGTCATTGGCCAAATAAAGTTTGTTGATTGCATTTTGGACATCCAGTTTTGGGGGAAATTTTACCAAACAGTGAAATCTCAAAATCACTAGTAAAATTGATATTGAACCCAATTTGAAGGCTTGATACATTACAGTTTAATACATAATAATGTCAACCAAATTCTTTTCAGATCATTAAAAGTAAAATCACAAGTTTTTGGTTTCTTCTAAACTGATAAAAAGTTTAAGTATACATGAGGTTGGAAAAATGGGTATAATAAAGGAGAGTATATATTTTCTTGACCTACTACATTCTCTGTATCACTGTCATCTCCGGCATCCTTTTTGAGAAACTATTTGGAGATAAAGAAAAATTACATTCTTACTAATCTGCAAGTGAAAATCACTAATGTGCCCTTGGTTTTATGATAACTGGTACTTATAAGTCATTCCCATTTTTGTTTCTTAGTAATTTTAAAGTTAATTTTTGGAATTAAGCTAAGTGTAAAGGAATATTAAGGTGAAATTGTAAAATATTTTTGTCATCTCCTACTCTGTTCATTAATACTACTTTTACGTGTCTGTAAATGTCAACAAAAAAGCATGGGAGAGAAAAATCAAGACGAAAACTGCCCACAAGCTTGATGCCACTTTTTTTCAAAGACCTTTTAAAATATACATAGGGAAAAATATGTTAAGTATTTATTAAGGGGCAGTTATTGTTGGATAATCTCATTAAACCTCTGTTGTTTACATTGTATTCTGTTTCTTCTTCAGTGAGAAAAAGAAAGAAAAGGAGCGTGAAGAATTGTGGAAAAAATTGGAGGATCTGGAGTTAAAGAGAGGTCTTAGACGTGATGGAATAATTCCAACTTAACAAAAATAATGACAACAACATTACTAACCTGTGGAGTCACACATTTATGTAGTAGAAGATGGAGCAACAGTTTTCTGTATTGTGCAACTTTACAGTAGATTTCACATTTGTTTCATTATTACAACAGCACTGTATATACCTGTCTCTAAGTAAAGGAAAAAAAAATAAGGACTTCAATCCAAAGTTTGGACAGTAGATGGACTTCTCAGAACTTTGCAAACATAATCATTGTTCTAACCCTCTCTAAAAAGCAAATCGGTCTTCAAAGATCTGTTGATGAAATTGCTATGTTAAAATTCCATTATTGGGAGTTCCTTATTTATCACTAGCAGAGAGTATGATACAATTTTCAAATGTGAACAATCTTAAATTTAGCTTGTCTTTCTGCTAAGCTGTTAAATGTATTTATAGTAAAGGAAAAAAAGACTGTCATTTCCTTATAAGTTTGTATAACATCCTCCTCTGGATCACTTGACTGTAATTTGACATCTTTTTCTTTTGCACATCTTCCTGAGTTGAACGTCCACGTGGAATGGGGCCATGAATTATAAAGGTCCCTGATAAAAGTTCTGTTTACTGGGGTGAACATCTTTCCAGTAACCAGGTAGTCCTGGTACTCCTTTAGTTTTAAAATTAGGAGTTAAAAGAGAAGAGGTGATAAACATAGTAGGAAAGGGAATTTTGGATTCACGCATCAGTTTATGGTGAATCCAAATCAATGTCTTGAATCCTTTGAAAACAGGCACTGGGACATCACAGGCTTCAGTACCTGACCAGTATTAGTTGCATATATCATTGAACACACATACCAGAGATGTTTCAGAAATGTGAGAAAAACATCCTTTTGGACCATTTGAAATAAAGACAAACACTAAACAATACGACCATGAAATTGATCGCCGGGATTGCAAAGCTAATTGGGAAAAGAGTTGAGCAAACAGCTTGGACTGTTTGGAGTTGTTGCCTTACTTTTTAATATGTATTTATAAAGTATTCCAGCAAAAGAGGATGTAGCCTCTGGGAAAAAACAAACATGTTAACAGTGTTTTTTGTAGATTCTCGTTCTATATCTCATCACAGCGCCAGCCCTGTTTTTAGCCGGAAAGGATTCAGGATAAACATTATTATGCATTCTGAATTGGATGCATATTCCTAACTACTGTATTTGTTATCAAAAGTGGTTCTACAAATGCTACTGAAAAAAATCTGGAAATTCCTAATGTCCTGAGTATTAATAATAAAGTTTAAAAATGCTTTTATATCAAAGGTGCATCGTGACCAAATTGTTTAAGAAAAAAAAAACAAAAAATCTAGGGCTGTATTATATATATGTATCTATATATGTATATATAGATACATATACATATATATATACACATATATATATATCTTATTGGCTCTCTGCTTTGTATTTAAAAGAAGAATCTACATCTTGGGTAGGTAAACTGCTGATAAAACTTGTGTATAGTATGTATTTACCTAATGCAGTAGCATTATTATATAGTGAAAGATATGTGTTTGGGGGTTTATTTCCAGGATGATTTTTGTTCTTATGGACATGGCAGCAGTGAGTTGGTAATCCTAAACCATCACTTCCAGCAGTATTCATGATACAGAGCTGATTCTGTGTTCATATGTTGAATTGTGGTAGTAACAAACATGAACATATGAACTATTGTTGCTCTTAATAGAAATACAATACAAATTTGGGCTTGTATATTTTCTTATTTACATTTAAATATAAAGTAGAATATGCAGTTTTATTATTTTCAAGAAAAAGGAAAAAAAGCTGCTGACCACCTCTCTCTCCCAAAAAGTTTTTCAGGATTATCAGGTCACAGTGTATACATAAGAGTCAGTTAATTATGGATATTGTCATCTTGGTAACTTTGTAAAAAAACAAAAACAAAACTGGCATTGTTAATTCCTAAAAAGAAACAGCAGTTAAAAAAAAAAAAAAAAAAGTCATATGCAACACCAGACACAACATGGCTTAATGGAATTAATAGTTTTTGTTTTTTTTTTTAAAGAACATTGATAAGGATTCACTGTAAAGTTGGCAGAGATTGCCAAAGAGAAAACAACTGACTTTAAAATGCTGGAACAAGGTGATAAAAAATAAATTTGTAACAAATCTTCTCCTCTTTAGCCCTTGTGATTTTAGCCCTTTAGTTTTAACTCTGCATTATATTTATTTTTGATAGTATAAACTTTTGTTTGCCATTAATTAATCTTTTTAGGTAGAAGACATTAAAATCACAGGTTTATGAAGAATCTCTGCCCATTGGAATGAAATGCAGTCATTTGAAATGAGAAAGGCCAGGACCCTTTTTGCACCTTACCCTGTCTTCAAGAGTAAAGGTGAAAACTTACAGCTCTCTTCCTTGATGTCAATTTTCTATGTTGATCATTCCAAACTGAGAAGAATAAAGCCAAGTTTTAGACATATTTAAAGAATAAAATAAAGCTATATGTCTAAAATTCATGGGGACAACTTCTGAGAAGAAACACTGTCTTTTTCTTTTTTAATGGAAAGTGACAATGTGACATTTGTCATGTTGTGTGCGGTGACGCAGAGTAACTGAGGTAATCTGACTGTTGCACTATGTGACATATTTCAGGATGTACTTGCTGCATTTGCAGCAGCCCTCTCTCTCTGTCCCTTCCCACAGTTCTGCTGTTGCTGCAACTTGAGTTAATTGTGACAAATGCATCTTTGTGTTATATTTTGTTTGCTTCATAATTTCCAGAACTATATATAAATATATTTTTAAAATAGCAAATATTGTAGTTAGTGAGTGATGCTCACTCCAACCTTATCCTTACCATATTGGTTTCAGGGATAGGATTAAGAGTGTCTTTGGAAGAAAAAAATACACACAGCCCTGTGGTTTAGAATGATGCTGAGGCCTTAGGCTGTGGGCCTAGAACAACTATGTGAGTGAATTCACCCATCTCATTCTTTGAATCAAGCATGCATTCCTTTTTCTCATTGTGCAAGTACCCCCAGTTGTTTTCCTTCAGTGTTGAGTTTTTTCCTTTTAAATTTTATTATATTTTGCTCTCCCTAACATCTGACTGTTTTTTATAAAAGAAAAGAAAAAATAATAATAAAAAAAAAGAGATAAATAATACCCTCGATGCCGCTGGATACTCACAAGCAGGGTTATGCTCCTTCATCTTGGGCTTGTTTGCCTAAATGAAAGGGTTTAATTTATTTTGTACCTCCTATGCGTGGGATAGTCCAGGGTGCAGAGCCAGGACTTGCTTGTAATTGCACCTGCTATACTTAAATGTATAGCCCTAGGCTCAATCACATTATGGAAAGAAACAAAAAAAGTATATTTAGAGCTTTAAAAGCTTTTTTATTTTTTTGTGGGGATGAGGGTGGGATGGGAAAGGGATGTATGGATGTCATTGGCATTTTTAAGTGTTTAGAGTTTTTTGGGGTTTTGGGTTTTTTGTTTTGTTTTGTTTTTCCTTGTTTTCTTTTTTCCTTTTAATTGGATGCACTGACCTGGCCCAGGAAATGAAGAGATTCTCTTTTGATGCTATTACCAATGTTATCATAAAGTGACAGTCACCTGTAACAAAAAGGTGGCACCAAACGTGATCACTGATGTTTTATTTGCACATCAATATTTTTATTTTTGTACTTCGGCTCAGCTGCTTCTCTGAGTGGAGTTAAGGAATGAGCCGCAAAGGAGTTTTGTAGTAGGTATATTGGCATTGCGTTTTATATTCCTCTATATTTAATTTTGAAAATCTGAAAGAAGGATTGTGCATCTTGAGAGAAAGTTGAGCAAATTGTGATCTAGCGGAATGTTAATTTGTGCTGCTTCTTGTGCACGACAGCAGCAGTAGTATCTCTCTTGGAAATAAACATCCATATTATGATGTCTATGAATATAGGTTTCCTTTTCTTCCTTCCCTCCGTCCTTTCTATCCCCACCTTTCTCTTTCTTTTCTCTCTCAGCCTCTCTTTTCCTCCCTCCGCCTTCCCTTCCTCTTTCTTTACTTTTTTCGAAATCACTTATTGTAAATAAGTTGTAATCCAAACCTCATGTATCAATGGGGAACTTTCAAATATAAATATTACCAATGCATTTTCTGGTTGTTGTCTGATTTTTGATTGAAGTATAATGAGAATGACATGTCCGTTGCTTTTGGTTTGAGGACTTCGCTTTAGCTTCATAAATCTTTTGGTATTTTAGTATTTCATTGTTTTAGCAGGAGAGGGCAGCAAAAGTTCATTTTCCCTGTTAGTAATGCTGTGGTTCATGATCGGTTTTAAATTTAGCTGTGTGTGTGTGTTTTTTTAAACAGCATCTGTTTGTGAGTAGAGGTAAAAATGAAACATTTTTGATATGAAAAGTTGCATATGAAAATTACAGACTGGTTCAACCAGACAGGGAAGACTTCTGATCCACATCAAACTTAAAATGCCACAAAACAATCTTCCACCTGTAGCTAAAACATGCTACTTCCCTTTCAAACACAACAAAATGCAAGCTGAGTCTTAAACACTTGGAATTTAAAATGTTTTTATTTGGAAATGATTTGCTTTCTTCAAAGTGGTAACAGAAACAAAAATGAAGGTGCTCCCCAAAAAGAAATGTAACCTTCCTCTTTCACAGTTGTGTGAGAGGTTCTGTACTGTGGGTGCATCATAATAAAGAAGCAGTGAAGAGTTTTCAGGTGCCTGGCTGTTTTTGTTTGTTTGTTTCTGAACTCCGTGGCCTTTTGAACCAAACAAATATTAGATTTGATTGACCTAGCTTTGCGGCCGTGGGGTTGGTATGTTCAGGCTTTCCTTTTGAGAAGTCAGTTTATGATTATGTAATATTGGGGAATGGTCCAGTATCTATTGCTGTATAAGTACTACTCCAAAAGTAGCGGCTTAGAAGAACAACGATTTATTCTCATCACAAATCTATAGTTTGGGAAGGGCTTAGCAAAAACATCTTGTTTCTGATTCTCGAGTATTAACTGGGGTGTCACAGGTGGGGCAGGAGACTTCACTTCCAACATGGCTCACTTACATGGTTGACAAGTTAGTGCTGACAGTTGGCTTGGAGTTCAGCCAGGGGTCTCAGTTCTTCCTCAGTACTTTCTTCTTGGGCTTCCTTACAGCATGGCAGGTGGGTTCTAGGATGCAGGAAGTAGAAACTGCCTGTTCTTTGAGGCCTGGGCCCAGAAACTGTCATGGCATCACCTCCATCATATTGTATTGGTCAGGCGGTCACAGAGCCTGCTCAGATTCAAGTGGAGGGGACATAGTCCTTACTGCAAATCAATGAGAAGTGTTTGCAGTAATTTGCAGTTTTTTTGTTTGTTTGTTTGTTTGTTTGTTTTTGTAAAGTATTTGATTTAGGGGTGATCTACTCCCTTGGCTAATTCAATTACATTAAATTTGGAACCATGTGGAATTATTCAATTAATGTTTCATATTAAAATTAATGTGAGTTTGGAAGGGAAAAGCCCTTGTAAATGTCTGACATTTTGTATTTCAAAGCGTAACCACTTGTAGCATCTGAAGATCAACCTTCTGGTAAGTTAGAAGAAATTTGTAACAAAAAATTTTAGGGTTCAAAAGACTTAAGAGATAATTTTAAGAAAATATTTAATTCTTTGCATATTGTTGCATCCTGTCTATAAATAAATATTTACAAGAATGGAGGCAAGGTAAATGTACTGTAAATATATGGATTTTTGTATAAGTAATATGTCTATTAAGTAAAGTTTCTATTAGATTAAGTTTACATTAGACTTTAATTTTTTTAAACTGAAACTAAGTATGTGATAGCTAAAGGGGAATTAGTTTGACTTTTTTTTTTTTTAAGATGGGGTTTCACCATGGTGGCCAGGCTGGTCTTGGAACTCCTGACCTCAGGTGATCCACCCACCTCGGCCTCCCAAAGTGCTAGGATTACAGGTGTGAGCCACCGCACCCAGCCCAGTTTGACTTTTTAAAAATGATTTTTTTTTTTTGGAGAAAGTATTGCTTTTTCATTATTAGGCACATACTTTTTGTGGATGACTGAGAACATGAATAGATAAACATTTATTGCCTATCAGCCAAGTGAGAGAACCTCTGGATAGGTTCTTAATTTTATTATTACAAAAAAATTGATAAGATTATTAGCCTTATTAAACACATGAGGAAATTGAGACTTACAGATTAAATAATGGGCCTAAATGTACATGAATGATTCATCTGTAATGAATGTTCATCATACACATGTTCATTATACACATAATATACATTCTCAGAAAGGCAGAATTATTTACTTTTATGATTGTTTTTTTGTAACCTAAGAAACCTTTCCTCCCCCATTTTCCTATTCCAGGCCAAAAAATATTCTCTTATGTTTTCTGTAAGAGCTTTCTAATTTTAGCTTTTATGTTGAGGTCTGTGGTTTATCTTGGATTATTTTCTTATGTTATAAAATAGGAATCTAGATCCAGTTTTTCCATGTGGATATCCAGTTATTGTGGGAGCAATTGTTGAAAAGTCTCCCCAAAGAAATGCTTTCTTGTCAAAAAGCTGTCTTAAAAGTGTATGTCTAAGTCTGGGTTCTCTTTTGTGTTCTAATGGTTGATTTTTTTATTCTTATGCCAGAACTACACTGTCATGATTGCTGTAGCTTTATAATTATCTTGAATCAAGTTGTCTTTCAGTTTTGTATTTTTCAAAATTGCTCTCAGTATTCTAAGTCCTTTGCATTTCTCCATAAAATTTACAAGCAGCATGTCTACCAAAGGGAAAGAAAAAGCCTGATTTGGGTTACATGAGGGCTCTGCTCTCATGAATGGTTTGATGCCATTACTGGGAGACTGGGGGGTGGGTTTGTTGTTACAGGGAGTTGTATTTAATAAAAGGGTGAGTTTGGTTCTCTCTGTCTGTCTCTCTTTCTCCCTGTCTTTCCCTCCCTCCGTCCCTCTCCTTTCCTCCCCAGTATACCTCCCCCTTTTGCCTTCCATCTTGGGATGACAAGCAGGAAGGTCCTTGCCAGATGCCAGCACCTTGATATTGGACTTCCCAGCCTCCAGAACTGTGAGAAATAAATTTCTTTTCTTTATAAGTTATGCAATTTCTGGTATTCTGTTATAACAGCACAAAATGGAGTAAGACATAATCCATAAACACGGAATTGCTCTTCATTTATTTAATCATAATTAAATGTGGTGTTAGCTGTTAGGTTTTTCTTAGGTGCCTTTTATCAGATTGAGGAGGATCCTTTTTCTTTCTAGTTGCTGAGAGTTTTTATTATGAAGAATGTTATTTGTTAAATACTTTTTCTATGTATATTAAAATGATGATATGAATTTTTAATTGTAGTTACATTAATTTCTGGGATAAACATCTGTGTGTAGGTTGTAAGGTAAGAATCTAGATCTTTTCAGAGGATGTCTGGAAATGAAAAGCAAAGGAAAAAAAAGAATCTAGATCTCCGTCTCTCTCTGTGTATCACTCAGCTTCTTAAATATCTAAATTTGTAATCTTTCATGGTGCTTGTGGTAAGTTTCTAGTCAAATATTTGAAAATATTATTTTTTCAAGTATTTTCTCTGCCTGTTCTTTCTTTTGTCATCTTCTGTGACACTAATTATGTATTAATTTTTTGGTATTGCACTATAGGTCACAGAGGTACTGTTGGTTTTTAATTTTTTTTAATTGAGATGAAATTCACATAATAAAAATAGCCATTTTAAAGTGTACGATTTATTGGCATTTGATGTATTCACAATATTGTGCAACCATCATTTCTATTTAGTTGAAAATATTTTCCTCCCCCAAAAGGAAACACAGTACCCATGAAGCAGTCACTTCCTATTCCTTCCTCAGCCCCTGGCAACCACTAATCTGCTTTCTGCCTTTATGGATTTACCTATTCTGGATATTTCATATCAGTGGAATCATACAATATGTGACCTTTTGTATCTGACTTCTTTCACTTAGCATAATGTTTTTGAGGTTCATTTATGTTGTAGCATGTATCAGTTCTTCATTCTTTTTAACGGCTGAATAATATTCTATCATATGGATGTACCACATCTGTTTATTCATTTATTAGTTTATGGACATTTCGGTTATTTTTACTGTATGGCTCTTGTAAATCGTGCTTCTAGGAACATCACTTTAAGTTTTTGTTTGAATACCTATTTTTAATTTTTCTGGATATATTGGTAAGAGTAGAATTGCTGTTTCACTTTTTGAGAAACTGTCCAACTTTTTCACAGCAGCTGCACTATTTTACATTCTTGCCAGAAGAGGATTCTCATTGCTCCACATCCATGCCAGGACTTACTTTCTCATTACTATTATTGTTGTTTTTGTCATCTTACTGGGTGTGTCACGTTCTTTTTTAAAGAATATCTTTCTTTTCAGTGTTCTTTAAATTGGATAACTTACTGATTTGTCTTTAAGTTCTCTGGTTGTTTCCTGTCGTTTTTATTTGCTGTTAAATCCATACAGTACTTTTTTTCTTTTAGATATTGCATTTTTTACCTTAGAATTTCTACTTGGGGTGTGTGTGTGTGTGTGTGTGTGTGTGTGTGTGTGTGTGTAATGGAATCTTGCTCTGTCACCAGGCTGGAGTGCAGTGGTGCAGTCTCTGCTCACTGCAACCTCCGCCTCCCGGGTTCAAGTGATTCTTCCGCCTCCGCCTCCCGAGTAGCTGGGACTACAGGTATGCTCCACCATGCCCGGCTAATTTTTGTTATTTTTAGTAGAGACAGGGTTTCACCATGTTGGCCACGATGGTCTTGAACTCTTGACCTCATGATCTGCCTGTCTCAGCCTCCCAAAGTGCTGGGGTTACAGGTGTGAGCCACCGCTCCTGGCCCACTTGTTTCATTTCTATAGTTTCTCTTTCTCTGTTGAGATTGCCTATCCCTTTCTTCACCATATTTATTTTTCTTTTCTTTTTTTGAGATGGAGTCTTGCTGTCTTACCCAGGCTGGAGTGCAGTGGCACGATCTCAGCTTACTGCAGCCTCTGCCTCCTGGGTTCCGGTGATTCTCCTGCCTCAACCTCCTGGCTAGCTGGGATTATAGGCATATGCCACCACACCTGGCTGATTTTTGTACTTTTAGTAGAGATGGGATTTTACCATGTTGGCCAGGCTGGTCTTAAACTCCTAGCCTCAGGTGATCGACCCACCTCAGCCTCCCAAAGTGCTGGGATTACAGGCGTGAGCCACCATGCCCAGCCAGAGGTATTTCTTAACATCACTGAGCGTAATTGGAATATTTGTCATAAACTTCCTGTTTGCAAATTCCAACATCTGGGTCATCTCAGGATCTGTTTTAAGTCTTTTTCTTGGGAATTTGTCACATTTTCCTGGTTTTTCTTGGGTCAAGCAATTTTGGATCCTGTCCTGGCTATTTTGAATATTACGTTATGGGAACTTTGGATTCTGTAGTATTCCTCTGAAGAGTTTTGATTATTTTGTTTTAGTAAACAATTAACTTGGAAGGACTCAAACTGCTACTCCTCTGGGGCAGCAGCTGAAGCTCAAATCTCAGTTTAATTATTTTAACCTTCCCTTGAGTTTGTTCCATACATCCAAGGCTTGGGTTAGCCATAGATTTGGGCTGAGTTACATGCAGGATTTGGTGTGCTCTTTTCTGAGTCTCTCTTTTGTGGGATATACCCTCACTTCCAGTGTCTGTGGATGACCTGAACTCT